CCAGGTGCAGAGAAAATTTTTAAAGAAATAATGCATTTTTATTACAGATTCACTTTATTATCAATAGACCCCCCCCCTCCCCAGCAAGAAACACCAGATCCTCTCACCCTGGGACCAGAAGTTTGCTCATCATAAGTAATCACTTTGTTTATCTTCTTAACACTAAGAGTAGACAGGATTATTTAATAGAATTAATGCATTTTCACTATATTATCAAGAGCCCAACTCTTACACCAGCACATCTGACCCAGGGGTCATGCAATTCACTACTCTGGAAGAAGCACTCTTGCTCATCATAACTATACACTTAGCTTCACTTTCCACTTTATATTTGTGTTTCATATTGTTTTTGTTATGTTTTCATGTTGATGTAATGTGCACTATACTAAGATGCAATAAATTAAGGTTGATTGTGATGTTGTCTTTTATACTAAAATGTAACTGATGATTATATCAAGCATTTCTGCCAATTTGATCAAATTTAAAGAAATTTTTGTTTGGACCCCCCTGCCTCCATAAATAATTTCTCTGATTATTTATTAATTATTGACTTTTTAACCAGCAGCAGAAAAGTATATCTTCAAAGAAATTTTGCTTTTTCACTATATAATCAATAGACCCCCCCCCTTTCACCAGAACCCTTGACCCTGGGGCCATGAAATCCAAAATTTTGGAAGAAGCACCCTTGCGTATCATAACAAAGTATTTAATTTGTTTAAATAATACCCAGGAGTAGAGAAGAAGATTTTCAGAGAAATACTGCACTTTCACTATATGATCTATATAGCCCCACCCTAGCACCAGAGCCCTTGACCCTGGGGCTATGAATTTCACAATTTTGGTAGAGTCACTCTTGCTTATCATAACTATGTATTTAATTTGTTTCGATAATACCCAGGAGTAGAGAAGAAGATTTTCAAAGAAATACTGCACTTTCACTATATGATCTATATAGCCCCGCCCTAGCACCAGAACCCCTGACCCTGGGGCCATGAATTTCACAATTTTGGTAGAGAGCTCAATGCTTATTACAATCATGCCAAAAGTTTGACTGCTTGATGTCCAGGAGTAAAGAAGAAGATTTTTAAAGATAGCACTAATTTTCATGGTTTTAGCCCCACCCCTCAGGCCCCAGGGGGGCAGGGACCATGAAATTCATTACTTTTGTACCCCTTCACCCATTGATGCTATATGCCAAAATTGGTTGGAAATGGTTCAGTGGTCCAAGAGAAGAAGCTGAAAATGTTCAAAAGTTTACGACCGACGGACGACTGATGACGAAAACAGATAGCAATAGGTCACCTGAGTGACTCAGGTGACCTAAAAATAATATTTGTAAAATTATTTCACCCTCATGCCTAACTTTTTATTTTTGAAAATCCAAAGAACTATTTTACAAATTGGTGTGGCCTGAATGGTTTCTTTAAAACAGAGCTGAACACAAATTGAGAAAAGTAAGGCCAAGGTCAAATGAAAGGTTAAGGTAAACTAGAAATATGTCCATAGGACATGAATGCCCCGCCAAGGGTATATTAGTAATGCAACATGAAAATTTGTGTAAGTGTATGAAATTTGATGAAAATATCTTGAATAGTTTCTTTAAAATTGAAATCTAAAAAGTTTGATATAGATGATAAATTCTCACCAAATTATGTATAAGTGCATAAGCTTACATAAATATATCTTAAATGATTTCTTTAAAATCAAGCAAAATGCAAATTTTAAAAGAGAAGTGAAGTCAAGGTCCCAGAAAAGTTCAAGGTCAAATGTTTTTGATGCAGTTGAATAGTTCTCATAAATCAGATCAGCATATTAAGTTTGATAAAAATATTTTGAATGGTTAATTTAAAACTGAGCTAAACACTAACTTAAAAAAAATGAGGTTAAGGTCAAAGGAAAGGTCAAGGTCAAAAAATGTTGGTGCAGTCGAAAAGGTTACATCAGTATGTATTAGCATATGAAGTTTGTTAAAAATATCTTGAATGGTTTCATTACAACTGATCTACACACTAATTTAAGAAAAGTGTGGTCAAGGTCAAAGGAAAGGTCAAGGTGAAAAAAGCTTACATCAGTATGCATCAGCATATGAAGTTTGACACTAATTTAGGAAAACTGAGGTCAAGGTCAAAGAAAGGTCAAGTTCAAAAATTGTTGATGCAGTTGAAAAGGATACATCAGTATTTATTAGCAGATGAAGTTTGATAAAAATATTATGAATGGTTTCTTTAAAACTGAGCTAAAATCTTATTTAAGAAAAGTGTGGTCAAGGTCAAAAGAAATGTCATGGTAAAAAAATATTGATGCAGTTGAATAGCTCTCATCAGTATGTATCAGCATATGAAGTTTGTTAAAAAATATCTTGAATGGTTTCATAAAAACTGAGCTAAACACTTATTTATGAAAAGTGAGGTCAAGGTCAAAAGAAATGTCAAGGTAAAAATGTTGATGCAGTTGAATAGCTTAGATCAGTATGTATCAACAAACAAAGTTTGATTACACCATCTTGTAATGAATGTTATCTTTAAAACTGAGCTAAACACTAATTTAAGAAAAGTGAGGTCAAGGTCAGAGGAAAGGTCAAGGTCAAAAAATGTTGATGCAGTTGCATAGCTCTCATCAATATATATCAGCATATGAAGTTTGATAAAAATATCTTGGATAGTTTCTTTGAAACTGAGCTTTGAACAGAGCTAAACACAAAGTGTGACAGAAGGACAGACAGAAGGACGGAAGGACAGAAGGACGGAAGACGGACATGACAAACACTATATGCCCCAGCCATATTCATAGAGGGCATAAAAATATTGATGCAGTTGAATAGTTTACATCAGTACGTTTCAGCAAATGAAGTTTGGCACTAATTTAAGAAAAGTGAGGTCAAGGTCAAAGGAAAGGTCAAGGTCAAAAAATGTTGATGCAGTTGAATAGCTCTCATCAGTATGTATCATCATATGAAGTTTGATAACACTATCCTGAATGATTTCTTTAAAACTGAGCTAAATGCTAATTTAAGAAAAGTGAGGTCAAGGTCAAAGGAAAGGTCAAAAAATGTTGATGCAGTTAAATAGCTTACATCAGTGTGTTTCTGCATAGTTAGATTACAATATCTTCAATGGTATCTTTAAAACTGAGCTAAACACTAATTTAGGATATTTATTCTGCTTCAGCCAATTCTCAGACTGCCTTACTATATTCTTTGGACTGTATATTCCATACACAAATCTCTACGTAAAGGTGTTAGCAAACTATCTATTGCTCAATATCACACGATATCCCAGGCAAATCTTCAGAATCTGGGTCATTTCCCCCCCAGTGCCTGTTCCACCTAGGTCATTTCCGCCAAAGTCATTTCACTCCTAGGTCATTTCACTCCACAACCTAGGTAAATTCACTCCAAAAATGAAAATTGTCGATTTACCTTTGGATATGAATATTTTAAGTTAATTAATTATTTGTTTCAAATTTAAGGTAAGGTTTGCGACCCCCTCCAAATTTTATTGTTTTAAAAATTGTACACGTCATAGATCTTTTTATTTGGGAAGAATAGCTTCATTATCTAACACAATTTCAACGGATATTGTCTGTCTCGGTTTTTGAGTAAAAGACGCCAAATTTGAGGTATTTGACGTTTCACACATTATTTTCTATGAAAAAATTTATTTATTTTATAAACTATCATATCAAAATAAATAAAATGACATGAATTGTTATATGTTATGCTTAATTTTTTTGGTTATTTAAATTGTAAAAATTTGGATAAAAAAGAGGATTTTTCAATTTTCCTTAATAAAGTGTAACCGTTTCCATGGCAACAAACAAGTAAAAATCACCATTTTCTATATCTAATGATTCCAAAAAAATCCAAGAAATTTTTAACTGGATCATTTTCATTACCATGAACAAAAAAAATATATACGTCCCCAACACCATTTCCATGGAAACAGAGACTATATAACAGGTTTTGTACATAAAAATCGGACTTTTTTTGCATCTAAAAAGTAAACATTGATACAATTTTGAGAAGGTATACTTGTCAAACTAAATTTTATATGAAATTGTTTTTTGGCTGAAAATTGACCTCAATAACACTCATTCTGTGCTACTAAATAATCAGTTCATGGAAAGACTTTTGGTATACTTGTCCTACTTAGAGCACTTTTACAAATTGGTCGCGATTTCAACTGGGCGCTTGCTAGATGAAGTTCGAGCTCCAAGAGCTCGACGCCATAAAAATCAATGAGATGCTGAAGAGATACGTGTTAAGCACACTGGGCAGTACTTAAAAAGGACCATAAAGTTATATGAGACGTATATCATGCTTGCTTTCATACACCAATGAACTTACATGCTATCTTCTTTTTTTTCCCCTGTCTACGACTTTCTGGGACAACCCTCTTATATACAATTTTATAAATATCTTAATTTATTTTTAATTTCAAATTATTTTAAAAAGAAAAAGAAGGCAATTATTGAGATTTTCATTTCAGTAATTTGGAGCAAATTGCACAAGCATGCACATGAATTATATCTAACTTGAGCATGTCATTTTGTCTAGACTATAAATATATATTTAAATATTAAGTTTAAAGCATTTCATCAAAAAATGTAAAAGTTGCCTCTATATATCAAGTATAGATATATTTTTTAACCATCAAGCTTTTGGGACCACCACTTTAAAATGAAAAATTACAAATATCTTTAAGTATAGCTTAATCATATCTTATACAAACTATACACAAATCATTCTGAAAAGACTCTCTATTTTTCTTACTAATATCACAGAAAAATCCCCCCCCACCCAAATTAAAATCTTGACATTTGAAATTCACTTCCTTAATATCTTCATTCTCCTTCACCCATAAATGCTATATGCCAATATTGGTTCAGCACTTCAAGAAGCTAAATTTGTTCAAAGTCGACAAAGGACAAAAACAAATTGCAAAAGGTCACCTGAGTGAATCAGGTGATCTAAAACCCAAATTTTCATGTCATATGCATACCCATGTCTTCTCAATGGTAAAGCCAAGAATTCCTTCATTTCTTGGCGACTCGTCCATGTATACAAAAAGTTCTCCAATATGCTGTGACCATAAAGACTGGTCCCCAATGTAAGTATCTGTAACTTCTTTAGAAGATGTAGCTCGAAGTTTTTTCCTAGGTGGACTTAATTCATCAGCTTCCTCAGCTAGAGTTTTCTTGACCTATGAACGATGTGATTATAAAAAAAAAATACATTGACTTCATTTCTGATATTGAAAAGGAAAATAAGATTTGAGATCTTGCTTCATCTGTAAATACACTAAAAATAAAGAAGGTATAATCTAAATATAGATAAAAGATAAGACACTTGTAACTGCATGCAGGCAAGTGTATACAGTGACATTTTATTTGAAGAAAAAACAATTGCACTGATTATATTGTAACAAACATAGATTAGGTTAAAATGAGTGCACTATTCATTTAGTTTTTTATATTAACAGCAGATTCACATTATTCTGAATTTCTTTACACTGTATACCATGTAGAATTTTTTTTTTTTTTTTTTGCTATCTCCTGCTTTCAAACCATTTTATTCCTTTAAAAAGGCACCCATAGAGACACATTCCAAGAAAAATTAAACCATCTCATTTGAATGTGCCAATGATATCTTGTATACAGTGAAACTTAATACAAACCTCTGTTAATCAGGTCGGGTACACTACCTTTTATGGAAGGCACTTTTCAACACGTGACTATGTTTTCGTCAAACCCATTCCCCAATCAATATTGAATGAATCGCAAAGCATGACGGGCTACTATGTGTTTACGATTCAACAGCGACATGTGGTTTTTTTCAGTCTACTGCATAATATTTATTTGGTTACCGGAAAAATGTACAGTTTCTTTTTCACTTTATAAGGCTAACATTGAAAGATTATATTCCAAAGACACTGTTCCCTGTTCACATTTAATATTGGAGTTGTTTTAGATGATTAATAGTTGCTTCAAATACCGTACAAACGCTTTGACATTTGAGTGTATACAAAAAACATTTTGATGATATTGAAGAGTTAAATAATAATTGCGCACATTATACTGCTGTCTAAAACAATGAACTTGTATATCATGTGGAAAAAATACGCTCACTGCTTAATCAACACAATATCACCTACGTCTCTTTGAACAATAGTTTACGCCGTTGTATTACAAGTTGATATACGGCTTCATAAAGAAAATTTTGTAAATGTGAGCATAGAAATGAAAGATTATACATCATTTCCAATATTTCTTTCATTAATATCAAAAAAGAATTGAAAATGAGTTTCCAAGGGACAATTAAATTTCCTCTTTATTTTCAATACACCTGAGTTCATATTGATTATTGTAGTAGCCCACAATGCATTGCGACTCATTCAGCAGTCGGTAAAGTAAACAGATAGCAAATTTATGCTGATGTCAGAAAATCTACTGGTCTCAACCTGCTAGTCTTAGACTTTCTGTAGGGCATTATATTCTAGACCCTTGATACTTAACATCAGTCAAATGATGATCTAGATTCTTAATTAAGAAATTAATAACATCAATAACTTTAGATTGTTGTTGACAAATGATTGAGATGACTTAAGCCCCACCTCTTTACCATATGAAATGCTGTCATTGGTTCCTTGCTACACTCGTTGTCATTTAAATTGCCAGAATTTCTATCCTATGTATATTTCACTCGTGAATGAAAAAACTGTGTAAACAGTTTGTCTAGCACAATAAAACGAGAAAATATGGCGCCCCTTACAGATTTGCAGCAGATACTGCAAATGCAGTATTTGCTGCTATAGCGCTGCAATTGTACTTAATGTCTACTGCAAAAATGAAGTATATTTGCAGTACTTATTAGCATAATGTACTGCGCAGCAGTATATTCTAATAATCTACAGTAAATATACTGAAAATGTGCTGCAAAAACTTTTCGTATTTTCTTTTCAGTGACACAAAATTTCATATGCTGCTTTTGTACTGCAAATAAGCTGCATTTCTACTGCATTATCTTTATTATTGAGATACTGGTATTAAAGGTATACTGCATTTCTGCTGCATTATCATTATCATTCACAAGTCTGTCATAGGTGTACTGCATTTGTACTGCATTATCTTTATCAATTAGACACTGGTATTGATGGTACTGCATTTGTACTGCATTATCTTTATCATAATTAGATATATGTACTGGCATCAAAGGTACTGCATTTGTACTGCAATATCTTTATCACTTAGATTCTGAAGGTATACCATATTTTGCCAATATATTAATTGGCTGTATTTGCATTATCTTAATAACTGTGAAAAAATGCAGCAATAATTAAAATCTAATGTTTATTACAGCTGTTTTAATGGTGACTTTTTAATAAGATATATTATATGATGTCTTAAAAACATCTGCATGAAATTTGAGACCAAATTAAATACCAGGTGTTCAAAGGGATTTGTGGGAAATGCAAAATACATGTGTAAAAAAACTATTTGTTCTGACATTGAAAATATACTAATAGACATGATGTTTCAATATTAATGTATCTTTTATTATATCATTTTCAATAATACTTGGATAAAATTCTACATAGTTTTTCTTATCAATATCCATGTACATAAAAGGTTCCTCAATATATATCCTCTATATGCTAGCATAATATTTGGTATCCCAATGGACACTTAATTGACATACATTTGTACTACATTTTTGTACATGAGCTTCATGACAGTTTGTGGTAAATGCTAGTAAGTACAGTGTATACAAAAACTCTTGGTCTGACATTGAAACAATCAATGGACAACTAAATATATTAATCTTTTTCAATAAGATTTGGGGAAAATGCCACCTGCTTTTTTCTCTCATCAATATCTATGTACATGACAGGTTCCTCGAGTTCATCTACAAGTATTACATTTGTTACAGTGCAGGAAACTAATTTTGTTACAGCATCGATGCTGATTTGAATGCTTCCTTTGCTTGCTGATTTGAATGCTTCCTTTGCTTGCTGATTTAATGCTAGTAATCCTTATCCTGATGCTGTTTTATAATTAGGTCATTGCTACCGGAAGTAGCATCATGCTACCGGAAGTAGATAATGAATTTCAGCATTGCCGTTTAAAGCAATAAAAGTGCCTTTTACAATTATTTGATCATAATATCTCACTATGTTTCAATAATGTGAATACTTTAACCAATATTCTTTCTTTCTTTTCTAATTTTTTACTGAATTAAAACTCATTGAGTTTCTGATGCTAGTAGGATAATGCTGTATTTATGTAGGTCAATGCTGGTTTTATCCTTTGCTTGCTGATGCTGATCCTGGTAATGCTGTTTTTTAAATGCTGATCCTGATGCTAGCTCGATCCTGATGCTACTAATGCTTATGCTGATGCTGCTTTATGTAACAAAATTAGTTCCCTGCACTGTAAACCAATGGACACTTGACAAACATTTGTACAAGATTTCTGTACATTAAGTATTCTAGTAACAGCAACATATGTGTATCCATTTTCAGTTGCACACTGTAAAAAATATCTAATCTGACAAATACCACTCTTGTTCTTACATGTATAGGAGTTTCTTTTTTTTACAGGCTTGTACTCCTCACTATAATACATTATCTTATTGTGTAAAACTCTGTAGAGGATATGATATTCAGCAACATTTCCAAACTTATTTTCCAGTAATTGTGTAACATGTTCCTCAGGCAAAAAGGCCTTTATAGAGCCAACCACAAAAGTTTTAAGTCCAATACATATCCTAGTAAATGACTGTTGCAAAGATGACTGCATCTTTTGATAAAAAGACTTCACAGAACCTATTTCTAATTTGTCAACAAGTTCAGGAATTTTATTTTGAATGCATACAGCAGTTACAATTTGGAGATCAATTTTTTGTGTACCATGGAAAAGATTTCTAAGATCACCATTCAATCCTTCATAAAAAAAAACAAGACTGGGACCAAAGTGGTCCCAAATCTTCGACTTTTGAACACAAGTGTAAAAGACAATGAACATTAAATGTAGCGTAACACTCCGTATAAAGTTCTTCTATACCAATACAAAATCTTTTGAAACAACATCTCGCTAATTTCAGATCAGTCTGTGAAATTGAAGTCTTTAAAAGTAAGAAAATGCCAAGTACTAAATTACAAAAATGATCATAATATTTTGAAGGGAGTACATCTTCCAAAAGGGGTACAGAGTAATAAAGAAGAAATGTTCTAAATTCAGATGCTTTCCAGTCACCATACTCATCAATTTTTTTTGGTAGGCGTGAAATCAAACAATGTGGTCTTAGTTTTTTGATTCTATCATTAAGTACATCAATATGGCTTCTAAGAGACCATTGCTCATTTTTGTGATCTAGATCAATCCAAAGCCCTAGGATCATCTTAACAACACCAAGCAAAACACAGTGCATATAATCTATGCCAGTACCTTTGATTAAATCAAACTTTGGAAATGACATCAAAAAGGATATTCCTTTGACTCCCATTTCTGGCACAGGATCTCGTCTTCTTCCACTCAAATATTCCGTTTCTACTCGATGCGCTGTAGCTTTGGTTTCCTCCATTGTCCTTAACTTGTCATGGCCTTCATTACTTTCTGACTTGTAGGGGTATATATGCGAGTTCCCTGTTGCCGATATTGCAAATGTTTCTCCAGGAGATAGACAACAAGGACACCCATAATTACAATTAAACTGGACAAAATCCATCATTAAACATCTCGCTGGTGCATCAGCTGTGCAGCTAAGAAGAATGGCTTTAACTGTTAACTGTTCTTCTTTAATACTCATGGGAATGCCTGAAAATATTTAAAAATATTCATATTTACTGATATATGAAATTTTGAACAACATATTTATGGCATGGAATTGCAATGCATATTTTGGGGGGATTTTTACTGTTCACGGTAGCTCAGTCTGTAGAGCGCTCGCTCCGTGATCGGGAGGTTGTGAGTTCAAATCTTGGCCGCGACTGACCTAAGTCAATAAAAAATGGGTAGCAACTGTTCCTTCGCCATGCGCTCGGCACTTTGAAGTGAAAGTTGCGGGTCCTTTGGATAAGACCCCAAAAACCGAGGTCCCGCGTCACCGCAGGCAATGGCACGATAAAGATCCCCCATGCTCAATGGCCCTGAGTGCCGAGTAAAGGCCAAAATTTGAAGCCCTTCACCGATGTATGGTGACGTCTCTATATGAATGAAAAATTCTTGAATGGGACGTAAAACAACATACAATCAATCAATCGATTAAAGGTTTTGTTACATATTGATTTATTTGTTTGAACAGAAGATTTCTCTTTTTTTCTCAAAGTCCAAGAGACATATTCATACATGTAACTCTGTTAAAAATCATTGGATCAGAACCAAGTTCAAATTTGACCTGAATGGATTATCAACTTTATATATATATACATCCCTTCAGCGGAAACTAAAAATATCTTCAGGACGGAATGATGGAACAGGGTAACAGTTTACACCATATGCACCCCTGCAATTTCATGGCAGGGGCATAAAATATAACATACACACCTGTAAAAAGCAAATTGAATTCTTTCAAAAAGGATCCAAAAAGTAGTTTCATATTTGGTTTCTGAGTTCCAAACCATAGTCCTAAGAAGATACGGTTTTCTCTTGTGAATCTAGCAATAAATTTTAGAGAAAATAGTGTAAAGTTGTTAACAGTAGAGTTATTTACAGTAAAGCTCGGTTATAACGAAGTCATAGGGACCAATGGTTTTACTTCGCTATCTCCAAAAAACTTCGTTATATCGAGATATCACTATATCTCTGTTCATTATAAACGAGTTTTACTGTATGTTTATCATTGAATTAAGTTTTACTGTATGTTTATCATTGAATTGTGTTTTACTGTATGTTTATTATTGAATGTTAAGAGTACCGTAATTTCCGAATTCATATAATTAATCAAATTGTAACTGGTACCTTGCATCAGGTGGCAATTCATTGATAACTGCATACACAGGCCAAACACCAAATTTAGATGACTTGAACACAGCAACTCCATCAGTGTTAATTTGAAAAGAAAGGTGCAATTGAAGATTCCTCTCTTCCTTGGTTGTTCCATGGAAAAAACCACTACTATCAAAATGAGTTTTGTATACATTTCCATTGTAGACATCTTCAATAATGGATGTGTTCCCAAGTTCACTCCTTTCAATTTTGCTTTTTCTTATCATGTCAAGAACGTCTGGTCCTAAAAAATACATCATACAATATAAAATGAAATCATCAATATATTTGTTGGATATACATTAAAGTGAATTTTACATTGTTACATTTTTTTTGCCATGGAGGGAATTTTGTGGATTGACAACTATCTATTGTATGTAGTATTAAATATGGCAGTATTAGAGTTTGGGTTTATTTCTAATTCTTTCACATTCATGTTAGTGCAGGGCCCCAAAACAGTCCTTCATGATATTAACACATGGCCAAAATTTTTATTATATCATTGATAATCACTGCAATAAAATTTATGGTTAAACGTTAGTTACATCTTACTTGCAAGCTAGAATGATAAAATAAGTCTAAAATGAAAATGACTCACTTTTCAAAATTGTTTCCATTTGGTCCTTTAGGGGTATGGTGATGAAATATTTTATGCTAGTCAATGAACAGTTCGGACATTTTTCATATTTTGCATCCTTTTCAATGCTGAGGAAGCACTTTTCACAAAAATAGCTGTATATTAGAGGCGTTTTCAAATGCCTAAAAAAGTCTTGGTACATTGTAAGGGTTGCCCTGCATATATTATCTGGAGGACAATGCACTTCAATCAATAAGATTTAATAAATCACAAAGGGCAACTCCTGATAAGTTGTGTCTTGTAGCAAATGTTACAATCAGCAGCATACTCATGCTAACAGTAAGCCTGCTTCCTTGATATATAGGTTCATTGTCAATATTTCTCTGATTATCACTACTTTTTTGGTCTAACTTCTGTTTTTCTTCCTCCAGCATTTCTTCCACCATTATGTCAAATTCATTTGGAACTTCATCATTGTAATCGGTTAATTCTTCAATTGTTTCTGAAACTAAAGTAAATAGTAATACATTATTGTAATGAGATGAGGTGGATAAAATAAAATAGAAAAAGTTGATGCTATAATTATTATTATTAAATGTTAAATAAAATAATTCATCATCAAATTTATAACACTGTTTTCATTACTATATTTTTTTCTTTGGTAAAGTTCTTAGAATTGTAAAGTAAGCTGCACATATTAAAATTTTTCTTACTCTATTGTTATTTTTAAAATAATTTATAGTTATTCAGGTTCATTGTATTTCAAAACTGACTTCATGACTGGTGTATATAAAATTATAAATCACTTATGAACTGCATTATACCCATCATTTGATTAAAATTTTGGGAAGGAGGGTTGTACACAATAAATTTGCCGTCGTAGTTCCACTCATTAATTTCATCAACGGACACCCTTTTTCATTATTATTTACAATACCAATAGAGTGACTCCCCTTTCCAAATGTATGCACGTAATTAATTAATCAATAAAATTTATACAGATTCAGAACCGTTTTACTACCAAAAAAACTCTATATACCTGCAATTTCCTCAACATTTGACTCGTGTTCTTGCTCTTTCTCTTGTTTTCTCCACTTCGATGTCCTCGATGTTCCTGCATATGGCCCGCGTTTTTTTTGACGCCATTTTTTCCTTGGTCAAATCGTGCATAAGCTATTTCGTTTCGTAACTTATTCTTCCAAAGTTCCAATTCACGGATATCTCACATTTCTGATAATATTTTTTAACTGAAATTATTATAAATAAATTGTGAATTAGTCAGTTTACTTTCGTTTATATAAATAAAAAACGGTGGATGCGCACAGGAACATCGTACGATGTATTTAACCACATTTAGTTCCGGTACGTAAAGTTCCTAGTTGAAAGCGCGGCAATATTTAGGCCTAGACAACGATGTCAAAATTATTACTAGCCCTTGTCGAATGGCAGGAGGAAGGATTTCCCCTCGGTGTGATAAATTTACGTGCCATAGATGACCCTCGTCTCCCATTTGAAGATTACACAGTTGGGTTAGACGTTTATGCCAAATGCCAAGGATTCCCGGGGTCACATCCCGCCAAAATTTTAAAGATCGGTGGTAGGTTCACAAGATTATAAATTATGAGCAATATGATCTTTCAAATCATGTGTCTCATTTATAATTTATTGTACATTTCAACAGACGATAAATATCTTGTTTTCTTGTTTTAACACTATTTTAAATGATAATAAGAATAATGTTGAAAATCTTGAGTTATTTCCCTTATTTACTGTGAAGTCTAAAACGGCTTTCACCCAAAACATGCAGTGAGAAGTCATTATAATCATGCATAACATATAATACTCTTGCTATTAAAATTTTTAATTAGTTTTAATTCAAAGGAATATGAAGATAATTAAACTCTTTCTAAATGTTTGTAACAATCAATATACATATAACTGTACATTTTAATAGATGACAGAAGAGAACTACACAATGAAATGGATCTGCTTAGGACAACACCTAGATTGTGTTCCACTGAAGAAGAAACTTGGTAATTATACTTATTGATTTATTTATTGATTATGGTCTATTTGACTGTATTGAACTTGAAAAAAAGGGGGGTAAGCATAATTTTTTTGTTTAAATGGGATTTGTATCCAATATGTTTCACAGTGTGATTGCATGCAGAAATTAAAGATATTTTACTCTATAAATACAACATTTTTTATAAATTAAAATTAACAGTGACTCCCCCCCCCCTTTACTGATAAGTTGCTAAAATTTACATTTTCAGTCACCTGAGTCACTCAGGTGACCTATTGCTATCCGTTTTTGTCCATCGGCATTTGTCGTGCGTTTTGCGTTAACAATTGAACATTTTTAGCTTCTTCTCTGAAACCAGCAAACCAATTTCAACCAATTTTGGCATATAGCACCTATAGGTGAAGGGGAACAAAAATTGTGAATTTCATAGTCCCTGCCCCCCTGGGGCCTGAAGGGTTACGGGCTGAAATCACCGAAATTAATGCAATCTTTAAAAATCTTCTTTACTCCTGGACATCAAGCAGTCAAACTGTTGGCATGATTGTAATAAGGATTGAGCCCTCTACCAAAATTGTGAAATTCATGGCCCCAGGGTCGGGGGTTCTGGTGCTAGGGTGGGGCTATATACATCATATAGTGAAAGTACATTATTTCTTTGAAAGTCTTCTTGTCTGCTCCTCGATATTAAATAAACTAAGTACATAGTTATGATGAGCAAGAGTGCCTCTACCAAAATTGAGAATTTCATGACCCCAGGGCCAGGGGTTCTGGTGTTAGGTGTGTGTGTGTGGGGGGGGGGGGCTCTATTGATTATATAGTGAAAATGCATTAAATCTTTGAAAATCATCTTCTCTGCTCCTGGGTATGAAATAAACTAACTAAGTACATAGATATGATGAGCATGGCTGCCTCTTCCAAAATTGTGAATTTCATGGCCCCTGGGTCAGGGGTTCTGGTAAAAGGGTGGGGGTGGGGCTCTATTGATTATAAAGTGAAAATTCATAATTACTTTCAAAATATTTTTTTCTACTCCTGGTTATAAAACAAAGAAACAAGTGTATAGTTATGATGAGCAAGGATGCTTTTACAAAATTTTTAAAACTTGTGGTCCCAGGGGTTCTGTTGTTTCTCGGGGGGGGGGGGGGGGGGGGGGGGCTCTATTAGATTATATGGTGAAAATGTGTGAATTCTTTGAAAATCTTCAACTAATTGAATAGTTAGGATGATGAGGGTACCTCTTCCAAATTTGTAAATTTTCATGACCCTAGGTCATGGGTTTTGGTGTTAGGGTAGGGCTGTGTTAAATAGTGAAAATACATTATTTCTTTGAAAATTTCCTCTGCTCCTGGGCATATTGGAAGCAAACAGAGTAAAAGTTTTAATAAGCAAGGTATTTTTACCAGAATTTTGAACATCTGGACCATTTAGTCAAGTGTTCTGGTCCTGGCCAGGGCTCTATTAATTTGTAATCTACTGAGTGAGGTTATTCCCCTTTGGCATTCACCTTAAGTTTGATAATCAATCACTGTAGATAATGTATTCGAAAGGATAATAGAATAAGAGAATTATGCAAGAACATTTATTGTATAATACAACAAGAGGCCCATGGGCCTTGAATCGCTCTTCTGATAAACTGTACAACCTATCACTTCTATTTGAAGCCTCGAAGTATCCTGTATATTTAGATAAACCCTTGAAATTCCAATTCACACTCTGAGAACCCAAAATGATTCTAAGCCAATTAGTACCTGAAAGTTGGTCATGGTGACCTACTTATCACTTGTCATTCTCTGAAGACCCATCAACTAAGTTTGATGATTCTAAGCCAATTAATACCTAAAATATTTTTTAAAATTATAACCATAAAATTTTATAAGTAGGTCAAAGTGACCTACTTTTCAATTGTTTTACTCCAAGGACCCAAGATGCAAAAGTTTGATGATTCTAAGCCAATTAGTACCTGTAATATTTAATTAAAGCCATAAATTTTCAAAAGTAGGTCACCGTGACCTACTTTTCAGTTGCTGTACTCCGAGGACCAAAGATACATCGACTGACAAAGTTTGATGATTCTAGCCAATAAGTACCCAAAATATTTAATTACAGCCATAAATTTTCAAAAGTAGGTCACGGTGACCTACTTTTCAGTCAACCTACTCCGAGGACCAAAGATGCATCAACTGACAAATTTTGACGACTCTAAGCCAAATAATTCCTGAAAATATTAAATACAGCCATAAAATTTCAAAAGTAGGTCACGGTGACCTACTTTTCAGTTGTTGTACTCCGAGGACCCAAGACGCATCAACTGACAAAGTTTAAAGATTCTAAGCCAATTAGTACCCGAAATATTTGACTAAAGCCATAAATTTTCATAAGTAGGTCACCGTGACCTACTTTTCAGTTGTACTCCGAGGACCCATGACGCTTAAACTGACAAAGTTTTATGATTCTAAGCCAATTAGTACCCGGAATATTTAATTAAAGCCATAAATTTTCAAAAGTAGGTCACGGTGACCTACTTTTTAGTCGACCTACTCTGAAGACCCAAGAGGCATCAACTGACAAAGTTTGATGATTCTAAGCCAATTAGTACCTGAAATATTTAATTATAGTCATATAAATTGAAAAGTAGGTCACGGTGACCTACTTTTCAGTTGACCTTTTTTGAGGACCCAAGATGCATCAACTTACAAAGTTTTATGATCATAGGACTTAAAATGTCCAAATTATGCCTCTAAAACGCTTTGAAATCGAATGCCTGCAGAGTTCCAAAAGTAGGTCACTGTGACCTACTTTTTAATAAATATGTTTTATGGCCCCAAGATGCATCATCTTACAAGATTTAATGATTCTAAGCCTCCCCGTATTCGAATTAATGACCTTAATTGTTTTAAAAAAGTTTAGCCATAAAATTCAAAAAGTAGGTCAAGGTGACCTACTTTTTAGTTGATGTACTTTGAGGACCCAAGATGCATCAACTGACAAAGTTTGATGATCATAGGCCTTAAATTGTTCAAAATATGCCTCTAAATCATTTTGAAAAAGAATGGCCGCAAAATTTAAAAAGTAGGTCACCGTGACCTACTTTTGAGTCAACATGATATGAGGTCCTTAGATGCACCAACTGACAAGATTTGATGGTCCTAGTCCTTATAGTAAGCAAAATATCAACATTTTAATAAAATGTAATTTTTGGTCAACTTTGAAGTGACCTTGAGACCACGCCCTTTGCCCCAGGGTAAATCCCCGTGCAAATTTTAATCTACAACATATCCTCATCCCTTTGTGTAAGTTTGGTGATAATCTGCCCAGTGGTTCTTGAGAAGAAGATTTTTTAGCAACCAGTACTTTTGTTTCTATTTTCCTAATTATCTCCCCTTGTTAAAGGGTCACAACCCCAGTTTTAGTATAAAAGGGAGCCCTTGGGCCAAGGATACCCTGTGACAAATTTGACAATAATTGGCCAAGGGGTTCTTGAGTTATGGCCCATATTCTAAAAAGTTTACGCACACCGCACACCGCACAAATGGCCATAGCATTAGCTCTTTGAGCCTTTGGCTCAGAAGAGCTAAAAAGTACTTTCATAGTTTTAATAATCAGGTAGACTTGGAAATAATAAATGAATAAAAATGAAACAAAAATAACTTATCTTTTTAAATGTTCTTCAAAGGCCAAGTGAGGCCAATGTGAGAGGTTATAATATAGACATTTTGTTAAAAGTCTGCATGATAATAGTGATAAATGGGGGACAGATAGAAAGATACTAGACCAATTATTTTGTTGATCTTAATCATGCTATTTTTCTTGCTATTGGGCAACAAAGCTTCATTTATCAGTTTATGGATCCTCTAAATTGTTGTACTCAGGTGACCGTTAAGGCCCTTGGGCCTCTTGTTTTTTTTCATGCTGGGTATGAATGATACATGTACAAACACTGCTAAAAAATACTTTAGCCTCTACGTTTACATACTAATATACCACTTACAACTAATTTTGTACATTTTTTTAATGTAACTTAAATTTTTGACATGATGATTTTAGCTTTGAGCAATATTGTAAATTTTCTATTCATTTTTCTAAAACATTTTACAGCATGCCTCAGGAAAAATCAGCTGAAAAGCAGCTTCAGGGTAAAGATAGGAATAAGAAGCAGAAAGTTGAAAAAGCAAATAAGAAGAAAATGGAAGAAGTCAATCCGATTGATAAGAAAAAGGCACAGGAAGAAATGAGAAAAAAGAAATTTGAAGAGAAAAAAAATGAGGCAATTCTGAAGAAAAAAGCCAGGACAGGACTAAATACCAAAGTTTTGCGAGAGTTGAATATTGACTTCAATAGGTAAACATTTTTTACAGCACTATAGTATTATACATGTATAAAAACAAAGAAATAGAAATTAAAATAAAACACAGTTTCAGTATCAGTGTATAAGGAAAACAAGGTATAAACCAGGGTTGTCCCTAAGAATTGAAATAGCAGGTGACATTAAAAAAGTAGAAGGGGTTTTGGGGTTCCTCCCTAACAGGATGGGGGGGTTGAGGAGGAATACCAGAATAACCAAGGGATTACATCATTATAGGCGGGGAAATTCCCCTGCCCCCGGGTCTTAGGGACAACCCTGATAAACTCTTACCAATTGGCTAACAAGCAGTTTGTTACTATTTTTCAGTTAATTTGGAAGTCTTTTCTATAGCTAGCAAACTGCTGCTTAAAGCCTTAAGCAATTGTTAAATTGCATACCCATTATGAATTAATAATGTCACATTTTTTATCAGTAGCAAAGAATAAGTCAGCCATTTCATTGCAAAAAATATTCTCTTAAAATATTGACTGGTCAATATTTTTGTAACATTTCAATTATTGACTGTTGTTCATTCATATTTTATTTATTTGTAGAATTCAAAACGAGAACAAAGACACTGAGGAAGACTTACTACCTCTACTACCTCTTCAGGACATTGACTTTACACAGTTGTGAGTAATAGTTCTCAAAGATATCTCCTCATCTTAAAATAATATGTATATTTATACAATATTTAAAAGTAAAACAATGTTAAAAATTTAAAACAAATTGCTGTGAAATTTTGAATAATATGTAACTTGTTTTTACTTGGTGTGGTAAATTAACAGTTACACATTTTTTAACACTTAGACTAATATGGTAAATCATTCTTTTTTTAGAGCTGATGACTCTGATCATGAGGAGGATGCTCTCGATGCTGAATTGATTGCTTTAACGTAAGCAAAATAAGTGATTTCACATTTGTATTAGATTGAAGTTTTGTTAAAAATCTGAGTTTGCATCAAAAGAGGGTTAATTGAGTTATTCAATCCCCTAAATAATGAGTGATATTTTATTATGATGTAGGTTATTATTCTAACAAAATATAAGTTTGTTCCCGTTACATTGAATTTAGAGTAATAATTGTTATCCTTAGTATCAATGGCTCAATTCAAATTGAAAATGTTTATGCTTCTGTAGCAAAGTATGATACATTGTATTGTGTTTATAGGGACCTGCCAGTTCAACAAGTGAATGCTAAAGGGCACAATACTGTGGCTCAAAGAGCCCCACGAAACCGAGCACTGGAGGTGAAATATGCTGAAGCAATTAAAGAAAATGGCATTCTAAAATGCAGTAGGTTAAATTAATCATTTCAAATTGTATATCGATGCAAAATTTTTCTGTAAATTGTACAAGTCAAAGTTTAGTTATTAGAGAGGTTGAGATTTAAGACGTGTACAGGTAACGTGTACGTGTGTTACATGTATAACTACATGTACACGTACCCCTTTTTGTAATTTATCAGTTGAGATTTCATAACCTGTAGGATATAAATGTGTACATGAATTTACTTAATTAACTTCAAATAAATGGTGAATTCCTTAATCAATCTGCATGCAAATAAAGTTTAAAAATCTAATTAATGTATCACAAGAATATATTCACTCATCAATTAGATTATTTTTGTTGTAAAAGCACAAGTTTGTACTTAGTGTAGACGACACTTTTCAAGTTTAGAGATTTAACTCATAAAAACCTTCTCGTCACAAAAACTGAGGACGTAATATGCGATGAATTTAGGTGATTCCCCTTGTATACGTTTGAAATCTCAGCCTCTCTAATAATTATTTAAATTACAGCTTTTTAGGGTTTCTAAGTTTTGACTTTTTTTTGTTCATTTTGAATATGAAAATTGTGCAACTTTTTTTTTTTAGAACTTTCAGAGGCTTACAAAGAGTTGGAGGAGTTGAAATTGAAAAGCCAGAATATGTCAAAAGAAAATAATGGTATATCTCATTCTGTCATTAATTACAGTTAAATTAGTGTGACAATGCAAGTTTCAATAGTCATTAAAATTGTATTGGTTCAGAATCTATGGAACTACATAAGACTAAAGTAATCATGTATAAAGTAAACACATAACAGTTGTTTAATAGTTTCAATGTGTCTGCATTAAAAAAACAGAAACTTTGCAATTGTCATTGAAACCCCACATTTTTAAAAAATTGAATTATTTTACAGAGGATTACACCATGCCAAAGCCCGGTAAACTTTCGAGTGATGTGGCAAAAAGATACAAGGTAACTGATGTATTTAAAGTATTATAGGTACTAGCTGTCAGGGTTAGAAACTCCCTAAAATTACAACTCGCAAATAATTGCGAGTACCAATAAAGTGAACTCGCAATTTTATAAGACTACTCGCAATTTTCATATAAAGTTAAATTTATATAAATTAAATACATGTAACTTAAGGAAAAAGTAACTACTGTACAATACACAAAATACAACTACAGTATAACTTTTATTTAAATTACTGATTTAAATCAAAAGTATTGTGTTCTGTCATATTATATAATTCTGCTATAGTTTCAATGCAAAAAAAACTCAACTCGCAAGTTTTTGTGAGTTACCTAATTTTTAACTCGCAATTTGGGAATTCTAACTCGCGTTTTGCTAGTTGTATATAGTGAATTTCGAACCCTGGCTGTTATGATTCAAATAATAAGTTTTAAGGGGAAAGTTTAAACCAACATGGCTGACCTTGTTCAAAAAGCCATTTAAGTTTTAATTATTAAAATGGTTTTCATGACCATCTTGTTCAATGAACTCCATAGCCGAGTGGTTAATGTATGGAATTGTGAACCACACATCCCGAGTTCGAATCCAGCTTGGGCTTTTAATTGTTTGTATTTACTAAATTGAATTTTTTGAAATTTTTTATCCCCAAAATGCAAAACGTTTTGCTTATTTGACACATGTACAGTTTATTCATCATGATATCTTTCATAATCAATTATCTGCTGATTCAAGGGACTTTTTCCAGATGTAGACAAGGGCCACAGTATGATATAAAAATATTTAATCAAGATGTAGACATAAATAATTTCATTGATATTTGATTAATGTAGATTTTTTCTGACTACATCTTAAAAATACAGACTAATCAGTAATCTAGTATTATTTCAGATGGTTGAACTAACACCTGGATCAGGTGTGTACCTCTATCAAGATGATATTGACCACGTACAAAAAGTGCGAGACCCTTCTGCCCAAGGAACAGCTGCCTATGGTAAATGGATGGCAAAACTCCTCATGAATATATTCTTCACCAAGAAAGACTTTCCTGATTGCAAGCTGTCTCCCAATGCTAAAGGCCATCTACTGCTAGATGAAACCATAACAAGTGCATTTATCAGTATGTTTTCATTATATTGTTCTTTCACATGTCAGTCATAACATTATGGCTTTACAAATTGAATAGTCATTATTTTTAACAAAGTATACAGATTAAATAGTCATTATTTTTAACAAAGTAAACAGAGTAACATATTTGGAATTAAAAAAAAGAAAGAGATTTTGTATCTATCTCTTCTATTTCATCACTGGATATCAGTGTATGTACATCTAACCCTTTTTATACCTCCTTCCATTTATAAAAGAGCTCCATCTGTCTTTTTCATTTTCGTATCTTTCTGTATAAATACAATTTTTAATAGACCTGCATTTTAAGAATCACCTTAGACCTGACATTTTTTTAAATTAATGATGTTTAAATTTAAATATCTATTATTTTCATTGATTTGTTTTCAGATTTTTCAGCGCAGAAGTCATGTGCCACAAAAGGGGCTATTCGTCAAGCAATGGCTGCAAAATTATCATCTGCAAGAGCTAAGAGCAAGAAAGTTGTGCAGCATGTAGAGTAGACTTCAATATACATATGTGTGTGATAAAAGAATTCACACTAGTTGTTATTAATAGTTGTTGTATTTTACAAAGGCTGCCAACCATATTCATGGTATACATCAGTTCTGTTTTGCTGTCCTAACGGGTACTTGAAATATTTGAAACACGCTGCATCTCTACTGCCAACCAAAGCTTCCATATTTGGGTATACAGTACTGCTGTGCAGTACTAATTTAAATATTTGAAACATGCTGCAACTCTACTGCCAACCAAAGCTTCCATATTTGGGTATACAGTACTGCTGTGCAGTACTAATTTAAATATTTGAAACATGCTGCAACTCTACTGCCAACCAAAGCTTCCATATTTGGGTATACAGTACTGCTGTGCAGTAGATGTTTGAAACACACTGCAACATGTCTACTGCTTAGCAGCACAAGTACTGCAGGCCAGTAGACTAGAGGTATTCAAGAATTACTGCAGGGCAGCATATACTGCCTGGCAGTCTTTTTTGCAGTACAATTGCAGTCTTAATTAACATATTTGAAACATACTGCAAGTCTGCTGCTTCATTACATTTTTCCATTTAAAAGCTCTGCAGTACATTTGCAGCACTACTGTAGCTCTACTGATAGTCTACTGGGATTTTATACTGATAATGTGCTGCATATGTACTGCAATTATGCTGCAATTCTGTAAGGGGCACTACTAATTTAAGCTCGTTTGGCACAAGTGCCTGTGAAAGCTAAAATTTAATATTATACTTTCATGTAAATTAGTTGAATCTGCTTCGTCGAGAAACATTTGTTTAAAAACACTATTACCCTGGTACCCGCTGAATGATGAAGCCATGCCCTTCAGCGTAGCAACACTCAACATTGCTTGACGATGGGTGATATTCCAAAAAATAGTGACTGTGCGGAATTTATGCGCGCACAGGTCACTGTTATATGTACTTGTATAAAACATTCAGTATAATATAATAAATATTGCATGTAGTTTAGTGTAACATTGAAAATTTTCACCCCTCGAAAACCATTGTCAACCTCGGCTGCACCTCGGTTGACAATGGTTTTCTTGGGGTGAAAATTTTCAACTTTACTCTCAACTACATGCAATATTTATAAATGTGCGCTTACGGATTTCTAAATATTAAAACTTTTTTGTGTTCAAAGCAATCACTTAAGTACATATAAACTGGAATGCGCGATTATGTAATGTCGTAGGGTCACTGTATTTTTGTTTACATACTCGCACTGGTAAACTGTAGAATCAATCGAGTCATGTGTCAAAATATGTTGATTCTTTGAAAATAAAATATGAATATTTATTGCTAAAATTATTTGTATGGACTGTTCTCCTTAGCTAGCTTAATTAATCTCACCTTTTGCTTGATCCATTTGAATTAAGGAGGCTGGGGGGTCAACAAATTAACCACAAATTAACCACCAGATTTAACTTAATTTTTTAGATATGATATCTTAAGCTGTCAACTATCATTTGGCAAAGAAAAATTTCAAAAATTTTAGTTTTAAAAATTTGATCATTTTCTATATCTTCATATGGAGCTCTTCTTCTAAAGGAGATCAATATAGTCTAAAAATGGCCACAACCCCCCAGCCTCTTTAATGTATGTATATATGTTTTTACATGTTTATGAACCTCATGTACCATTTACGTGGTTTTGAGAGAATGAATTGAATTGAATGAATTGAAAAAGTTCTGCTGAATAATTAATTAAGTAAACAAATGTTAGTTGTTACCTGGTACTTATCATTAGCACCTTCATAGTTTGGCCTCTCACCGTGTCAATCATCTATGGCCTCGAGGTGATAACAATGCGATCAGGCATGGCAATCGACCTTCTCAGACAATACCCTGATTATGTTTACAAGTTATCCAAGTAACTTTCCTTCGATGGTTTGAATATAAATAAAATACTAGTACGTGAACACCCCACAATCATTTATTGAAGTTCCACGTCCATGTGCTTGCAACACCATGAATAAGTGAATGAATGTTTTACCCGTGTACGTGAGTTAGAAATCAATGCTATTGTGTTAGCATGATTGACTGACTACAAAATCAAATACGGGTGTGGACCAAAGGAAAAAAATATCACATTTACATATTTTCATAACAAGCGCAAGCCATAAAATTCATTTGCATCAATGCATTCCCACTTGCACATGTGCTAAAATATGTATGCGCCTAACTTTCTCGTTTTACAGTTAAGTAATTTAACAGAATTTCAAATCAAATTTAAAAAACCCTCGATCTCTTGAAAAGTCATAAAATATTTAAATATAGTCTTATAAATTGAAAAGTAGGTCACGGTGACCTACTTTTAAGTCAACCTTCTCTGAGGACCCAAGATACATCAACTGACAAATTTTCATGATTCTAGGCCAAGTAGTACCTTTAATATTTAAATATAGCCATTAAATTTCAAAAGTAGGTCACAGTGACCTAATTTTTCAGTTTACGATTTTCGAGGACCTAAGATGCATCAACTTACAAAGTTTTATTATCATAGACCTTAAAATGTCCAAATTATGCCTCTAAACGCTTTGAAATTGAATGCCTGTAAAGTTCAAAAAGTAGGTCACTGTGACCTACTTTTTACTAACTATGTTTTATGGCCCCAAGATTTATCATCTTACAAGATTTAATGATTCTAAACCTCTCAGTATTCAAATTAATGACCTTAATTGTTTTGAAAAAGATTAGCCATAAAATTCAAAAAGTAGGTCAAGGTGACCAACTTTTTAGATGACATACTCAGAGGCCCCAAGATACATCAACGGACAAAGTTTGATGATCATAAGCCTTAAATTGTTCAAAATATGCCTCTAAATCATTTTGAAAAAGAATGACCGCAAAATTTAACAAGAGGCCCATGGGCCACATCGCTCACCTGAGCATATTGGCTAGGAAAAAAAAAGATGCAAAAATCAGTTCAGTATTGAACAGTTTACCGGTGGGGGGGGGGGGGGGGGGGTAATTTTAAAAGCAGAAGATTTTTTCCCATATTTTCATTTGTAAAAATTTGATCCCCCATTGTGGCCCCCATCCTACCCCCCTGGGCCCTCATTTGAACAAATTTCATTCTACACTACCCAAGGATGCCTCCATATCAATAATCAATTTGACTAATCATAGCTTATCTGTTCTTGAGAAAAAGATTTTTTCCTATATATTCCTCTGTAAATTTTGATCACCCATTGTGACCCCACCCTACTCCCGGGGGTCATGATTTGAAAAAAAACTTGAATCTACACTACCTGAGGATGCTTCCATATAAATATGACCAATCATGGCTTTGCTGTTCTTAAAAAGAAGATTTTTAAAGATATTCTCCTATATATTTCTACGTAAGACTTTGATCCCCCATTGTGGCCCCCCCCTACCCCCGGGGGTCATGATTTGAACAAACTTGAATCTACACTACCTGAGGATGCTTCCATATAAATATGACCAATCATGGCTTTGCTGTTCTTAAGAAGAAGATTTTTAAAGATATTTTCCTATATATTTCTATGTAAAACTTTGATCCCCCATTGTGGCCCCACCCTACCCCCGGGGGTCATGATTTGAACAAACTTGAATCTACACTACCTGAGGATGCTTCAATATAAATATGACCAATCATGGCTTTGCTGTTTTTAAGAAGAAGATTTTTAAAGATATTTTCCTATATATTTCTATGTAAAACTTTGATCCCCCATTGTGGCCCCATCCTATCCCCAGGGGTCATGATTTGAACAAACTTGAATCTACACTACCTGAGGATGCTTCAATATAAATATGACCAATCATGGCTTTACTGTTCTTAAGAAGAAGATTTCTAAAGATATTCTCCTATATATTTCTACGTAAGACTTTGATCCCCCATAGTGGCCCCACCCTACCCCCAGGGGTCATGATTTGAACAAACTTGAATCTACACTACCTGAGGATGCTTCCATATAAATATGACCAATCATGGCTTTGCTGTTCTTAAGAAGAAGATTTTTAAAGATATTTTCCTATATATTTCTATGTAAAACTTTGATCCCCCATCGTGGCCCCACCCTACCCCCGGGGGTCATGATTTGAACAAACTTGAATCTACACTACCTGAGGATGTTTCCACATAAGTTTCATCTTTCCTGGCCCTGTGGTTCTTGAGAAGAAGATTTTTAAATGATGCCATTATTTTTTCACTAATTCCTAATTATCTCCCCTTGAAAGAGGGCGTGGCCCTTCATTTGAACAAACTTGAATCCCCTTCACCCAAGGATACTTTGTGGCAAGTTTGGTTGAATTTGGCCCAGTGGTTCTTGAGAAGAAGTCAAAATGTGAAAAGTTTACAGACAGACGGACGCCGTACAAAATGTGATCAGAAAAGCTCACTTGAGCCTTCGGCTCAGGTGAGCTAAAAAGTAGGTCACTGGAACTACTTTTGAGTCAACATGATATGAGGTCCTTAGATGCATCAACTGAAAAGAGTTAATGATCCTAGTCCTCATAGTAAGCAAAATATCAACATTTTAATAAAATGTAATTTTTGGTCAATTTTGAAGTGATCTTGAGACCACGCCCTTTGCCCCAGGGTGATTCCCTGTGCAAATTTTAATCTACAACATATCCTCATCCTTTTGTGTAAGTTTGGTGATAATCTGCCCAGTGGTTCTTGAGAAGAAGATTTCTTAGCAACCAGTACTTTTGTTTCTATTTTCCTAATTATCTCCCCTTGTTTAAGGGTCACAACCTTAGTTTTAGTATAAATGGGGGCCTAGGACTGCACAAATGGCCATAGCATTAGCTCTTTGAGCCTTTGGCTCAGAAGAGCTAATAAACAGGAGCCCTTGGGCCAAGGATACCCTGTGACAAATTAGACAATTATTGGCCAAGGGGTTCTTGAGTTATGGCCCATATTCTAAAAAGTTTATGCATACCACACAAATGGTCATAGCATTAGCTCTTTGAGCCTTTGGCTCAGAACAGCTAAAAAGTTTATGCACACTGCACAAACTGCTATATCATTAGCTCTTTAAGCCTTTGGCTTAGATTAGCTAAAAAGCTAACTTGAGCTTTCAGCTCAGGTGAGCTAAACACAAAGTGTGACAGACAGACAGCTGGACAGACTGAAGGATGAACATTACATTTTTATGGTGGATTTTTAATTCTGAAATGCAAGACAATGATAAATGATAAACTTTTCATCGTTTGGAAATTTAGACATAATATACATACCTCACAAACACAGAGCACTGGCCCTTCTAATGCAGGATCTTTTCTATAACAGATAACATCAGCCTTAGATGTCACAGTTCTTCCCATGATCTGTGCCTTTTTTGTACTAATGAATGGCTGGGTACTACAAAAAAAATCTTCCTGTTTAAGAGTTATACACATGTTAAAAAACATAATTAGTGTTTTTTTTCCTTTTGTGCCATGTGGGAGGGGATTTAGCAGTCACAAGAGACTTAAGTCTAAGACATGAAATAAACTGAACAGGAACAGTACCTACATTTAAAGGATACATGATATGATATGATACACGCAAGGTACGATAAACGCACGATACGACAGGATACACATACGATGTGACAGGATGCATGCACAATACGATAAACACAAAACATGATAAATTGAAAATATGATAAACACAAAACACAAAGACCTGATAAATGATATTCACAATTGGATAAAGGGAAAACCTGATAGGATTGTTTCAAAATCCAAATTTTTTTAGCAAGATGAATTGTTTCCTTTTTTGATATACTGTAGTATGCTAATTTTAAATACAGGTAAACTTCGTTATCCCGACATCGCCGGGACCATCGGAAAATGTCGAGATATCCGAGGTGTCGAGATATCAGAGTTGAGACTTGACGTCCAAGATTTCACTCCATAACCAAACAAGCTTATTATACGTACATGACTTCAATATAGACTGTAGGTCAACTTATTTCAGCAATCCCTCTATTTTTATTAAAAATATAAGATCTTATTTTTAAAAATCTTATTTATAAAACCTGTTCTTCCTCTTTATCGAAATCGTTCTAAATTTTTGTAGTTTTCCATCCAGCATTCGCGTGTTACTTGCTTTTTTGTCAGAACAGGATACAAAATGCGCTCTATAAACTTCGAACCGTACCGTATAAACATGATAAAGTTGACATCCGAGACACGAAAACATATTAAATGCATATTTTTTTTTTCTTATTTCATTCAGGAAGAATGTGCATTAATATTAATTTTTTTTAAAGAGATTTGTGTATCAAAACTAACGTAGTGATTATACAGATGCATGAATTACGGATGATTCGGTTAATCGTGTCGTTAATCGGATTATTTCCTGTTGAATGCATTTTAAGTACAAAATATTATTAGAACATCGTTTAATTCTTTAGTTTGAATTTATTCAATATGTTTATTATTCTTTGTAATTTAGTTATCTTTTTCAATTTTAAAAGTTATGTTAGGTTTCGACATAAATAAACTCCTGTAAATTTAAGCAGAATCGTGTAGATTTATCAGTGATATTACCCAAGCTGAACATTAAGCAATTAACGTCTCAAAGACGCCGAGGGGGCTTTGGATTCACCTACAAACACAGTCTATAGAATTAATTAAGCAGCGTGCAGTCAAAACATGGGTGTGAAAGGTGTGAATTTTTGACGATGTCGAGATACCCGGAGCCGTCCGTGCGTGACGAGCGACCCTATCTGACAAACAGTTAGGTTCAGTGGAGCAGAAAATTGCCGATGTCGACATATACCAGGTAAATTTTGCTCTTTGGACTGTGAATATACGTCGAGATAACCAGGGTTGTCGAGATTACCGAGGTCGACATATCAGAGTTTTTGCAAATAATTTATATAGTAAATACTGCCGGGACCGCGGACGGACATCGACATATCCCAGGTTGTCAATATATCCGATGTCGAGATACTGAAGTTTACCTGTACTTGCAAACCTGCAAGTTTAAATGATAAAATAAATTAAATTTATTATACACATGTAAAACATTTGATGTAGCTATGCTTTGTAAAGAAAACCTGTTTATTTTTTTTTTTTCAATAATTTAGTGGATCATCATCAAATTCAAACTGTTATTCCACTCAATGGTGGAATTTTTCGATTATTATTGTCTAAATTTTCATTAAACTTGAATTATGAGTTGTTAGAATTAATAAAGCTTTAAGCACTTGACTTGAAAAATGTTTATTGCTTTGACAATGACTGCGCACTGGACTGTGATTAAAACATCACTCCTACAGAAATATATCACACATCTGGTACACAAATATAGAAACCATTTACATAAACGAAAGTGGTTTTTCCAAGTACATACATGTATAAATGAAGAGAGACTGACTGAAAGAAACTGACATAGAAATCAAATTTAACATAATTAATAAACTAGTTTTTTCCCCTGAAAACTAGGTGTCTTTAAAACCATTAGGACAACTTAAGTATGAAATTCAAACACAAACAATTGTGCTAGAATTTCATACTGAAAATGTGACATAATTAATTAGTTCCTTTCACATAAAGTGGTCAGGACAATTATTCAAAATTAAGAAAATAATTTACCAGTATTTAAAAATTTATGAACTTTTTAACACTTAGTGATGTACAGTACCCCCAAAAATTGAAATTATTTGCAATCTTACACTAAAATATCATAAACCTTTCAATTTATTTACTATTTTGTAAAGATTGTCAGAACAAAATAATTAAGAAAATGGATACAAATTACTAGTATGGTACATAAAAGCCTTCGTTAATGTGTAAAGTGATACTGTTCCTGTATTTCAAGAGATCTTAACAAATAAACAAGAATACAAATTTTACATTTTCTGTTCAAGGAAATTCTGAAAGAATTCCTATGTCTCAGTCACGATTAAAAAATTAAGACTTTTATTTGTCATGTTTGTTAGGTCTTAGAATTTTACATTTTCAGTTTGAGGAAATTCTGTAAGAATTCCTACATCCTATGTCTCAGTCATGATTAACAAGAGGCCCAAGGGCCTTGAATCGCTCTTCTGATAAACTGTACAACCTATCACTTCTATTTGAGGCCTCTAAGTATCCTGTATATTTAGATAAAGCCTTGAAATTCCAAAAGTAGGTCATCATGATCTACATTTTAGATAAACACTCTGAGAACCCAGGATGATTCTAAGCCAATCAGTACCTGAGAGTTGGTCATGGTGACCTACTTATCACTTGTCATTCTCTGAGGACCCAAGATGCATTAACTAAGTTTGATGATTCTAAGCCAATTAAAACCTAAAATATTTTTTACATTATAACCATAAAATTTCAAAACTAGGTCACAATGACCTACTTTTCAGATGACATACTTCAAGGACCCAAGATGCATCAACTGACAAAGTTTGATGATTCTAAGCCAATAAGTACCTGATATATTTAAATAACGCCATAAATTTTCAAAAGAAGGTCATTGTAACCTACTTTTCAGTTGTCATACTCCGATGACCCAAGATGCATCAACTGACAAAGTTTGATGATTCTAAGCCAATTAGTATCCGAAATATTTAATTATAGTCATATAAATTGAAAAGTAGATCTCGGGGACCTACTTTTCAGTCGACCTTCTCCGGGGACCCAAGATGCATCAACTGACAAATTTTGATGATTCTAAGCCAAATAGTACCGGAAAATATTAAATACAGCCATAAAATTTCAAAAGTAGGTCAGAGTGACCTACTTTTTAGTTATTGTACTCCGAGGACCTGAGATGCATCAACTGACAAATTTTGATGATTCTAAGCCAAATAGTACCCGAAATATTTAATTAAAGCCATAGATTTTGAAAAGTAGGTCACAGTGACCTACTTTTCAGTCGACCTAATTCCAAGACCCAAGATGCATCAACTGACAAAGTTTGATGATTCTAAGCCAAATAGTATATGAAATATTTCATTAAAGCCATAAATTTTCAAAAGTAGGTCACAGTGACCTACTTTTCAGTCAACCTACTCTGAAGATCCAAGATGCATCAACTGACAAAGTTTGAGGATTCTAAGCCAATTAGTACCCGAAATATTTAATTATAGTCATATAAATTGAAAAGTAGATCACAGAGATTTACTTTTCAGTTGATATTTTTTGAGGACCCAAGATGCATCCACTTACTAAGTTTTATGATCATAGGTCTTAAAATGTCCAAATTATGCCTCTAAAATGCTTTGAAATTGAATGCCTTCAAAGTTCAAAAAGTAGTTCACTGTGAACTACTTTTTAATAAATATGTTTTATGGCCCCAAGATGCATCATCTTACAAGATTTGATGATTCTAAACCTCTAAGTATTCGAATTAATGACCTTAATTGTTTTGAAAAAGATAAGCCATAAAATTCAAAAATTAGGTCAAGGTGACCTACTTTTTAGTCGACGTACTCCAAGGACCCAAGATACATCAACTGACAAAGTTTGCTGATCATAGGCCTAAAATTGTTCAAAATATGCCTCTAAATCATTTTGAAAAAGAATGACCGCAAAATTTGAAAAGTAGGTCACCGTGACCTACTTTTGATTCAACATGGTATGAGGTCCTTAGATGCATCAACTGACAAGATTTGATGATCCTAGTCTTTAAAGTAAGCAAAATATCAACATTTTAATAAAATGTAATTTTTGGTCAACTTTGAAGTGACCTTGAGACCACGCCCTTTGCCCCAGGGTGATGCCTTGAACAATTTTTAATCTTCAACATATCCTCATCCTTTATGTAAGTTTGGTGAAAATCTGCCCAGTGGTTCTTGAGAAGAAGATTTTTTAGCAACCAGTACTTTTGTTTCTATTTTCCTAATTATCTCCCCTTGTTTAAGGGTCACAACCCTAGTTTTAGTATAAATGGGAGGCCTTGGGCCAAGGATACCCTGTGACAAATTTGACAATAATTGGCCAAGGGGTTCTTGAGTTATGGCCCATATTCTAAAAAGTTTATGCACACCGCACGCTGCACACCGCACAAATGGCCATAGCATTAGCTCTTTGAGCCTTTGGCTCAGAAGAGCTAAAAAACTGAGTACTTTTATTCATAAGGTCTTAAATATATATTGGCCTAGATATACATATTTGTTGTTGTAGTAATCTTGATCTGGAGTGACAGTGAATGATTTTACAAAAAAAAAAACATTTATTTTCCTGTTCATCATTTTAGGCCCTAGATACCTCAGACACTTGTGTCAATGAAGCCCCAAATTCTCAACAATCTTGATCATATCCTGTAAAGCTAAAGTTGAATCGCGATCATTGAATTGTGAATTTTATGAGGTTGGAATTATTCATTAAAAATTTATTCTTGAAACTTTCCTCTCGCAAGTTGTAGCTGTAGCC